CAGTTTCCTTACAGCTCAGGTAGCTCTTTCCTTTGTTTGTAACTGTATCAGCGTCTATATTTGAGAGTAGTAAAGTGGTAAAGCTTGTTACACACAGACATTAAAGGAGTACTAAGGAATGGCTCCATGTGTAACTGTCAATCTTTGTGGGCATTTCATTGTTGTTTATTGTTGGACTGTGCTCTTTTGTCTACTATCTTAAGTAACTCTTGTGAAAGAGAAACAAACTCTTTCTCTAACCAGCTAAACTAAGTATTTTTTTTTTTGTCATTCAGAGTTTTACAAAGCTTTAAGCCAGTGTACTTGTCATGTGAAACCTGGTGAATATAGACAGCTAAGGTAAATACTTTTGTGATCCTATGTTTGAGAAAAAGCAGATTTCTAGGTGCAGTCTATCTGTCACTTTCTGTATATAAATACAGAGGGAAATCCAGGTAGATTATCAGTCATTTCCATTTGTAAACAGAGTCAACTAAATCTGCTCTGTCACACTGACGAAGCCACATTGAATTTTCTTTCCTGTATTGCAGTGATTAGCTAGGCTGAGTCATCAGCTGGTTTCACTTCATGGAAACCATCTGATCTTGCACACACAGCATTAGGATTCATTCACTCGAAGGTACGCGGGTACTTATTTAACCAATTGCTGCTATTTGGTTGTGACATATGTTATGCGCCGCTAACGGGCCTAACTGATATATTAAGCTTTTCCCAAATCCCATAGGAAGAAGGGCAATAACGTCCCCTTGATAAAATTCACCAAACATTCTCTTGTTTTGGCTTTAAATCCTCGATCTCGGGAATCGTTGCCAACACAGAATGTATGGCTTCGTCTACATCCATCTTGACCACTTTGTTTACTGTTGTGCTGTACCACAAAAGGGACCCAGACAGATGCTTGAGTTTGACGTCATGGCTTCACAGCTCTTCGCTAACCGGCCAGTGCGTGATCTACAACTTCCGAGGTTCTTGCAAACCATCTAGTAGTATATTCTGATTCCTGACCTAGTCGCCGGAGAGAAATAAAATTGAGCTGACGCACTAGGTAGCGCCAGACAAGCAGGTGGCATACCCTCCACTACAAACGTTACACAGTGCAACTTTATATAAATTCTGCTTGGACCTGTACCTTTTGCCTGGTGACATTATGCGTGGTGTTTGGGAGATCGATGCATTCACCATGTTCCTGTTGGCAAAGTGTGACCTGCGCAGTGACCGGACACAAGGGTTGCCATAACAGTGACGCTTCAATGGGGTCAAAGGTTATCCCAGCCCACAGTTCCTCCACATCTGAGAAGGGTAATGATATTGAATAATGAGTTTTGTATTCCTACATTAAACAATGAGTAATAGTGAGACTTACTCTGTTTGAATGGGCAAACCTGAACTCTGCGTGCATCAAGGACAGCGGACCAACCCTGTGGCATTAGTATATTAAATTAATATTATTCACATAGATAATCACTACTATCTGTGTAAATATTCACCTCAATGCAAAGACAAGGCACCAGTCTGGAATAGGAAAGAGTGGCACTTTTAATAGTATCCTCCTTCTTTATCTACAAGGCAAAAAGAAAATGTCAAATCAAAAATATGTATTAAAGTATATAAATCTAAGGTATTAAAATGACAGCATTGTTGATATATCTGTGATGTATCTGAGATTGTAACATCAGCTAAAACTCAGTCTTGGCTCTAAATAGAAAGTACAAGAATGTGAGTAGCCAAATGAATATTAACATATTCGTTTGGCTACTTACAGGTTGTGTACATTTTAACAGCTATGTTGAAGAACACTTTTACAAAGGTTCTTTAAGATGCCATGACATAACTGTGGTCCTGACTCTGGTTTCACCATTTCAGTGTGTGGATCTTGTTCCAACTATTATTTACTCTGGCTTCTGTATCACATTGTATACATATGCCACATGGCAGGATGAATTTAGAACACGTCCTAAATGTGATGTCAGTGAACCGTGTAGGTGTTGGACTAATAGACTTAGACAAACTTTACTTATCCACAAGTGTAATTACAGAAAGACAGTAGCTCACACATTACACTATAATAACAAAGTACAAAATAATATTCAACATAAGCAGCAAAAATAGCAAAAGACTCATAAGTCACGGTTATGTGATTTGTATGTGTAAAAGTAGAATAAAAAATATAGTAAATATTGTATATAGTCTGTATAAAAGAGGTCTGATGGGCTCACCACAGTCACAGGCTCAGTGCTCATACAGATGTAGCGTTTAGCATAGCACAGGCGCAGGTTGTAATTGTGGTCTTGGCGCATCTCAGACACATTCACAGTGATGGACTTCTCCTCTGGATTCACTTTGTACAAGAGTTTACCTGCTGAGATCCACACACCCGCAAATGTAGGGTGGGCTATGTTAATGTTAGTCAAATGCAACAGTATAGGGGTTGGCTTTTAATAACAAATACAAAGCTACACTTACTGATGCAGTCAGGAATATGGCGTTGAAGATCTTCATTACTGCAACCTGTAAAATAAAGCACTAAATATTTCTAAAGGTTGAAAGGCATTATACAGGCTTTTGCAGACAATTGCACTCCATAAAATATTTAATAGGAATAACAAGCAGTAGTTACCTGGAGCTGTATATACTTGAGTCCATTTGATGCCACAGTAAGAAGGGACAGTTTCTACTGTTATTTGGACTTCTTGACGCAGTGATATCATAGTACAGTCATTTTCTATGTCCACCTACACAAACGTTAAGTAAACATGTTCATTTGATGATACAAACTAAAATATGTGTTTTCATAGCATAATAATGTGGTTAAGATTCATTTTGAATAGCCCATTAGAGTCAAATTAGAGCTATGTATGGAAAGGAAATAATTTTACAAACTAATCTCTGGACCAGTCTCAAGCCTGGATGAATTAAATATGGTTACACTCGCTGAGGATCTGCAGTGTAACCTATGTCAGGGTCTCAGGCTGAGACTTTCAAAATAACTACGCAACTGACCTGAGACTACACACTATTGTACACTGAAACTTCGAAAATTAAAAGTTGCAACCAAGTTTTGGTTTATTGTATTTATTTATGTAGTTAATAGCGATCTAATTTAAAAAAAGGATTAAATAAAAAGTCATAGTTTTAAAATGGCATTTTAAAAGTATAACTACCACTTTGAGAACCACTGACCTATGCCCCTTTAAATAGAAGACATACGATAAGATATTTATAATTATGATGTACCAGTGGTTTTGGCAGTGTTTCCGTCAGCCTGTCTTGGCTGAATCTGATGACTTTGCAGTTTGGGATCAGTCCTGCGCTCGAGGTGCAAATGGATACACCGTGAATAAAGTCTGAAAAACATAATAATCATGGTGAGCAAATGTATTGTATAACTTGAAGCCCCAAAACATTATTTGAAATCCACAAATTGATCAAAAGACCACAGTACAGCCGAATATTTTAGTACCAGGAAGTCAGTATTATAGAGTCACTGTCACACTGGAAGGACTTTGGATTCTCTGTCTGTAAAATCTATATTTTTAGATGCTGTTAATCTGCCAAAACACATACACACTAACTGGTTTATCATTAGAGACAGCAGCAGGAACCAGTATAAAAATAACTTTATTATTGACATGTGTACAGATGAGTCATGTTGATGAAATATTTATTTTTGCTTGAGTACTAAGGTCATTTGACACAGCTTAGTTGGATCAATATAGAATATAAATTAATTTGGACATATGCCTTTAAAATAAGTTCAGGTGATACTGGAGCTGAATATTGTGCCATATATTACCAATGCCTAAACATTTCACTGCCATGAAACAACCCTGTCTATTTTAACAATAAAACACATGATCTATTCTAGATGACATGTCCCCACCTTTTATTCGCATCCTGGTTTGAATTCTCAGATGCATTGAGCACTTGTGTCTCTCCTCACACCTCAGCACTGTAGACAGACTGATGTTCTGAAAAACTGGTGATGTTTTGAAATCCTCGGGGGGGCTCTGACACAGCGAAGGGAATAGGACTAAGAAAGCAAATTAATAACATGTTAGGAAAATGTGAATGATACATTTGTAAATACATTTGAAGAAGTGGACCGGACTATGCCTAAGATTTTCTTCCACTGGTAGCTTATACTTACTGTTCAATGTATACTTAGAAGACTACTATATATTAAGTTAAGTTAAGGTTTAGGCATACTAACTCAACATCTCCATATGTATCTACATCATTCAATGCCACTCTGGCAAATTGATCATTTATAATGATAAGCTTTTTGAAATGTATGTTATTAACAATAATTATGATCTTTTGTACTATACAGTAGCTTGTGTCTTGTCTGGCAAATCCAGAATGATATCTCTCTCTCTATACAGATGGATGTCAGTCTGCTGCCCATGCCCTCCGTCGCGCTTCGACGCCAAACGTGATTGTGTTATCACATTTGTTTATTTTCAGTGATCCATATGAAAATAATCTGCCATTTCCCCTAGTTTTCAGCTTCCGCAGTGTTTTCCAGTCCCTTGAGAAATGTGTTTCTATTTTTTTCCTTCCAAGCTAATCCACCTGTTAATCTGAAAATGGAGAGATACCAATGACCACATTTACATATTCATTAAGTATTAGAGAAGTGTGTATGTTGGATCCCAGGCAAGCCTATGTCAGGAGTTCTGCAGCTTCATAAAGAGTTGTCAGACACAACTTAGCACTTGTAACAAATATTACAGGCGTCTTTTGTCCCATATATCTGGCTTCACTCTGTTTCTCTCAGAATCTGATGGCATAAGAGGTTTTCAGTTTCAGTGTTCTTGTCATTTTTCCCTAGAATTATATGCACACATTTAGGTGTGGCTCTGTTTCGGAAAACCTTTATCTAAGAGATATTTTTGGCAACAGACAAGATATTTAAAAGGGTGCAAGATAAAACATGGTCATTTATGATAATTATAAAACATATATACTCACAGTTGGTCTTCTTACAATCAAGACCCTACAGAGAGAGAAAGAACAGTTAATCAGGCTGACTCAAGATTTTAATGCTCAGTGAGAGTGTTTAAAAGGAATGGTTTGTCCTTTAGCTTTAAAAAGAATAACAAATACTATAGTCAGTTAAACTGCATTTATATTGTGAATAGATTTTTTGCATATTGACAGCAGTATTTGAGTGAAATAATTTTTCCTTTGAAAGAATTGCCAGGTTTTGTAGCTGCCACAGATGACAAACTGAGATATGCTGATTTACTTGCCAGATAAACCAAAATTACAATGTGTTTACAATGAGTCTTTGCAAAGCAATTAAAAATATAACAGGGAATTCCCAGATGAGAATTTTTACATCCTCATTCATGTAGAGCATGCTCTGTACTAGTGCAAAACTTCAGATACAAATATCCATAATTAAAATGTGTTACATTGTTCAGGTTAAGAATTGTCCCTTATGCATATTAGGTTAAAGGGGCACTGTGTACATTTTTGGGGCACTGTGTACGTTTTTGGGGCACTGTGTATGTTTTTGGTTGGTGGTCTGTCACCTGCTTGTTTCTATGCTGTCTTGCTCTGTCTGGAATGTTCCACACTGTGACATCAAACAGCTCTACCTTACATTTATTCAATTACAGGTGGTTTTACAGCTCAAAAATACCTAGAAAAACAGGCATTCTGACCATGAGTGGGGTTTGCCTCTCCACAGACCTGTAACTTGGTCTGGTTTGGTCTCCCTGAAGATAGAAAGGTTTAATACCATACTGTGAAACATTCTAGCCAAAGCAATAACATTTCCACGGAAAAAAGCATTGATGGGCCCTTCACCAGAAAAGTTACACAATAACTTGCAACAGTGAGTGAAAGACAGTAATAGTGTAAATGAGCGATAGGAACCACTGCATATCTCTGTGATGAATTGCATTGTGCTTGAGGGGCTTTACTGAAAACTCAACAGCTATAACGATATGCTGGTACTCCAGTAAGTTCATCTGATAGTGTTGCTGAATTTCTGTCTAATGAATCAAAGCCACACACCTATACTTACAGGTATGTTACAAGTACTACACTTGAGAAATCTATGATGAACAGTTTATGCATATGTCGCTGCATACGTAATAAGTAGGTGATAGACTATTAAAGGTTACATACAGTTTTACTTTATGAAATATTTGGCTTGTACACAGTAGAGCTCAAAAAAGGCAATTACACATAAATAGCTTTAACCAAACCTTTGCTAGAGGATAGGTTAAAACTCATTACTTTACACCTTACATTCTGTTACATTCCTTGCTGGTTCTCCTTGTTCAATTATTCCCAATTTTCAATAAAAAATAAATGACAAAATATAAAACAATTTCCATAGCTAACTAAGTCCGAGCAAAGATAGCAGTAATTAGTTTTACCTGTGAACATTTGGTGCTACAAGCCTCTATCCTCTCCAGTCCCTTTTGGTCTTCTGCAGCTCCTGTCAAACTTATGCAGCAACATATCATCAAGGAAACTAGAGGTAAACATTTCAAAAAACAGGTGACAACTTCCTCCATGTCCCCAGCGGCCTTTCCTCCTTGTCTTCGTTTTCTGAGTCGTGCAGGAAAGATAGAGAGCTAGATTATTTTTTGTTTTCTATGAGCATGCCTTCAGTAAATGATGGAGAGTGTTGCAACTGTGCTGGGTCAGAGCCAGACTAAGAGCTGTACTGTAATGGGAGGACGTAAATGTCAGAAAAAGGGGGCGGGACTATTATAATTGTATAATTTAAGCAAACATGTTAGTCATACCAGGTGCTAGTCATGTTGTCATCCTGCTTATGGAGGTCAAATTACTGGCAGTAAGACAATAAAAATGTACAGATCCCGTTATTTCCCAAAAAAGGACACCCAGAAATTTGCAATAGTGATTTACAACTAATACCCATTTTGTTTTTGAAGTCATATTTAAGCTAAATAATGCAAGAAAACTGACTCAACTTACGTTTTCTTGATTTGCAGTTGTTCTGTTGTACCACCCATTTTTCTAGGAAACTTTTGTATTTCCTGCAAAGATAAAATAATATAAAATAATAATAATAATAAGGGTGAAAAGGATCACACGAAAGTTAATCTTCTACCTCACAATGGTACAGATGAGAATCAAACAAATTGTGAACAACTAAAGAGCAAACCATCCACGGGCTGTGAACCTATTGTGTTGCCCCAGGGAGAACCAGTATAACCTTTTGTCAAAATGCCATTAAAAAAAGAAAAGAAAAGAAAGTAAAGTAAAAACTAAATGGACTGCTTCTATTAAGAAAAAAATCAAGAAAATGATAAATGTCTCCAATGTGTTCAGCTTCTGGGAAACAGGAGGACAGTTCCTCCCCTTATCTTTCAGGCAATGAGAGGTCACATGGAAAGATGAAGAAATTTTAAAAATAACAGAGTTGCAAATGGAAATTTGTCTATAAAATATAAGACCAAATGCCATAGGAAAACTGAAACTGATGAAAAGGTGACTCAACAGTCCCTTATCTAATCTGAAAGCAAAACTGAAATGTGTAGTGACATCATAAAATAAGAACACTGAAAAGACACTGAAAAAAGATTAATCATCACACAATTACAGTTACAACAATTACAATAACACATCTTGTTTTGACCTAGCTTGTGGTTGGAAGTTTCCTTCAAACCCTGGGTACAGGTGTTTTATTTGTTTCACATCCAAGACCAGATAAAAACATTATTTGTAAAATAGCTCTATCTACTGGGACTGGTTAGTACTACAGGTGTAGCAATAAACCTGGCTGCAGGATAATACTATCTACAGCATCATATAGCTATAGGCCTAGATATTTATTTGTAATATTATATGCATTCATTTTAACGAATACTACAAAAATAACAATTTCATAGTGCTACTGTGAACCTACCTGGTGATGTGGTAATGTTTCAGGCCTACTGCTTAATTGACAAAGGCGGGAGAGAAATTAGGTTATTAGGTTATTACATATGCTTGGTTGGACGATAAATGAGGCTAGATTATATAGACTTTTCTGTGTTGTTGATATGCCCATTGGCTTAGTACACAGACTACAATATTGATCAGTATTTTCTGCTCTTGACACTGGCCGTACAAAGAAAAGCCACAGCATTTTGCAGCGCTCATCCGCCAGTGTGTCACGTGACCCGTTAATCGCGTGTATTTCCGCGTTGACAAAGCTCGGGCTGTTATCAATGACCGTCAATGAAGATGTGCAGCGCCTTGGCTAAAGCATCCTCTGCATGCACCCGCCCTTCCCCTCACATCCACCCCGGGATGGACCATGCTCAATGAATGAAGAGCTAGCCCGCTGAAGTGTGCTCCTCCGCCGCCCCTTTGTCGAGCCTGTCGTCGTCCTGTGCGGCCGAGCCGAGCTGGGGGGCAATCCGGGGAAGGGCAGCCGCGGCGCCGCTAATCGGCCCACGGAGCCTCCGCCACGCCGCGCCAACAACATGCTCACCCGGGTCAAGTCCGCTGTGGCCGGCTTCATGGGCGGAATCATGTCAAGTGGAGGGTCCGGAGGAGGGAGCAACGGCGGCTCCGAGCTACCCCTCAAATTCCCTTATATGAGACCTGAATTCCTGGGGCTGTCCCCGGATGAGATTGAGTGTTCGGCGGATCATGTCGCTCGTCCCATCCTCATTTTGAAGGAGACCCGGAGATTACCATGGGCTACAGGATATGCCGAGTGAGTATCCCACTGTGGGACAGGTGTAATAACAGGGTAATGTATTATACTGTGGGACAGGTGTAATAACAGGGTAATGCTGAGTGAGTATCCTGCTGATTAGGGTAATGCAAGGCCCCTGAAAACCACTAGGTCTAGGAAAAAAAAAAAAAAAAACAACAACAACAATGAAATCGATGAATCAAATTTGAAGTTCACATCCAATTGTTTTGAAGAAAATGTATTTTTATTTTCCCTATTTTCTTGGATTGGAAAGTTTTATTTTTATTATTGTTATTATTATTATTTTTTTCCAGGCAAAATCACCCAGCCCTAACACCCATGGATTGCAAAAACACGCTTTATTGCTAAGCCTGCACCCAGTCACCATTGCATACATTGCTGTTTTTCAAACCTGTTCAGTACTTTGGACAAATAACTTGATGCTGATGGTATGTTTTCAGATGGATGACATGCATTTATTGCCAGCTCAGTCTCAAAGGCTGAGCCTGCTGCACGTGCAGAGGCGGGCCACTGTGGGGTATTAGCCTACTACTCCAGCTCCACTGTGTCATCTGCAACACCCTGTCCACCTCAGCACTGAATATGTGATGTGCTGTGACAATTGTGTCTCCTTCATCACACTTTGTAAAGAGAATGTCTGCTTCCTCTGTACTATATTTTAAGGCTCTATCAGTATTCTTGAGGTAAACCTAAGAAATCTAATTACTAGTTTGATGGTAATTTTGATATACTTTCAAGTAGATATAAAGTGTTTATAGTAAACTCATCAGCCAGATGCACACATGATATTTAACACTGCCCCACAGTCACTTTAAATGCCAATGACTGTATAGTTTATTTCCCATTGAGAACTCAATTTATTGTCACTGTGCTCCCCTTGTATTTACCCAGACAGAAGCAGATTTCTTGTGCATCCATAAGTTCTGTTTGCTGTTGATGCCACACATAATTATAATGTTGAATTATCATAGACAGGCTGTTTATGTTACACAAACTACATCCTGTTAAAGATCCTGCAGGTCTGTGCAGAAATGAGCATTTAAAGGTTTTGGACTTCTGGCGATGTGATTGCTTCATTTAGGGATTTACATTTGGATCACTTACTCTATTTTGATTTGGACTTGTAACACTTATACTTTAACACCAAGCAACTCATAGGTAGCAATGATATTAAAGCAGAGTAGGATAAACGGAGCCCTTACTTGCCAGAGAGTGCACTATGTGGCCTTACACATTCTCATGACTCCAAAGAGCCATTTCAACTGATCATATGGCCCATCCCATTTTGAGGAGGAGGAAGGGGTGAAAGAAAAGATTAGGGCTCAGGCTCAGCATTTTGTAGATTCAGTATTTTGGCCATTATCTGTCTTTAAATTGAATTGTAGAACAGTGAAGGAATAAGTCATGTTACTCAGTCTTTAAAAGCACAATGTTTGATCTTCGGTCTTCTTCAGTTGAGTTTATTTAATGATTTTATTTATTTTATTCTAATTTTCACAGTTTATCTTAGATCTCACATGGCATTATGGTCACAGAGCAGCTATTGTTTAACCTCACAGCAAAAAGGTCCCGGTTTTATCTCCCGAGTCCCGAAAGAGGTGGTGCGGGGTTTGCACATCCTCCCTGTGTAATATTTTTACTGTACTGTCTGGTAGGCCTGTCACGATAATCACTATGTCAACTTCAGTTCATTCAGTACATGAAAGCTAAAAATGAAAAGCTAGAAAAAGTAATTTCTGTGGCTAATAGTAGTTATCATTTTGTTATTTATTTGTTGCTGCCTTCAAGGATTCTGTCTATTTAAAAATGGTTTACTGGGACAGTACTGCTTTATGGTAGTTTCAATATTATCGTTTATCACAGTATATCTCAATATATCATACTTTAAAATGTGTTCTCGTGGCAGATGTACCCGAACCTGAAGTATTGTTTTGGCTCGGTTATAGCAGTCTGTTTGGGACTGGTGTGGATAATGAGTTTTGTAACTGAAAGCCCTGATGTCTTTTTTGATAAAGCAGTATTTTACATGTAAATCTCTGATCAGATCAATCATCATAAAATAAATGTACCATGTATCAGCGGGGGCAGAGTTTTAAGGTTTTTTGAGGAAACACAAACATTACCTCATTGCTCACTGCAGTCGTAGTAACAGTGTGGTTGCTTGTGAGAGGAAGGGCACCCAGCTGAAAACACATACACACAATTTACAACAATGATATGGGCTCTTTTAATGGAAGTAATCACTACATATGTTGCTTGATGGACACTGTTTCATATACGAGTCTTTCAAAATAGTCAAAAATGCATGATAATTTACCATACTAATTCCTGGTTTAAGTCACTGAGAAGTCACATTTCTGTTAAGACACTACATTTTTGAACCTGCTGTTTTTATCTGCTGCCTTCACTGCCTTTGCTCTCAGTTTCACTATTGTACCATGCCAAGTAATGATCACGTCCTCTGGGCCCGTATGTGCTGTGGAGGACAGACAGACAAAGGGGGCATTAGACGTGTGACAATGGATGAGAAAATTGGGTTTTGTTCCTAATGGGAAGAAAGCTAATTGTGTAAATGAAGTACAAATTTGATTGCCAGCAACTCAAATTGTCATCATTCTTTGTGTAAATGGTGAAATAAGGATACACACAGGAGCAGCAGCTGCACCTTTTATCCAGTGCAGCCCATAAAATCCAAATGTTGAGAATAAGGCCTTTAAGGAGGCAAATGGAGATTTTTATTCACGCATTAAATAGCTAGTTGTTCAGCAGGACAAAGCTTTTCCTATATCACTGTGGGCTGCTGTGTCAGAGTGCTTTATGACAGAGGGCATTTTGGGCAGCGGTAATGGGGCACTGGCAGAGCACTGGGCTGGATCAGTGCTGCAGAGGGAGGATAAGATGCCCAGAGAAGGGTGGGACCAGGAGTCAGGTTTCTAAATAATACAATGGGATCAGCTGCCCCAAAAGGCTGGTGTTTGTTTGCGATATGCTCACTACTTTTTTTTTTTTTTGGAGAATGTTTAATTGTTAAGTTAGTCTTTGATCAACGTTTTTGTTTCTTCTGTTTGTCTTTGTTTGTCTCCTCATGTAAAGCAGCTTGGTTAACTTGTATTATTATTATTATTATCAAGTTAAATTTTAAAGTTTACAATGTATGGTATCAATGAGCATAGAGATTAGGTAATATAAATATGGATAACTAAACTTTTACAAGTTATGTATTTTGAAACCGTGTAAACTACGGGGTTGGCAATGCATAATAAGACCCCATGGAGACAGTTGTTGGCTTCAGAGAAAATTTAATTAGCCAAATAATTACAGCCTTTGCTAAATGTTACCATTCAAATTACACTTTGATTGCAATTAATCTTGCCCCTCTAATGCGTCATAACAATCATTTGAACTGCACACTGTTAAAAATATCTCCATTTTATTATTATTATTTATTTATTCCGTTTTAGCCAACCAGGAGCTTGCCAGAATGCTTGACTTTTTGACTATGAAATTTTCAAGCCACTCCCAGTATTTTCAAGAACTGAGCAGGGGTCTCATTTAAAAACCTAAAGGTCTTGTATTATACAAGATTGATTTTTGTGAGCTTTAAGCCATGTTAGAATGTTATTATCTCTTTAATAATATCCCCAGAGTTGTGGTTTGTTTCATTGACCCATGTTTGTGTAATCTTGCATTATTAATCTGTTTACATCTCTAAAGCTCACAATGCCTTTTGTTCAGCAGAGATTGGCAGTTCCCGGAGTGAAATAGTCCAAATGATTCTAGTGAAGGTGTATGGAGTTTAACAATACAGAGGGGCACTTTTGGTATTACCACATAACATTACAAGGTGAAAATCATTTTAAATATGCAGGGTTTGTGTCTTAAACATGGATGAATGTAACAAAACACAACTTCATGTATGTTTTTTGATGAGGAAACAATATGATGAGATGAGAAAATACCGTAATATGAGCCCTTTAAAAATATAGATTTATGACTGAAAGTGTGCTTATGAACAAAGCATGAACTTCCTCCAACTCTTCAAAGAGAGAGTCCTGTCTTTCTTGTCCCTGAAATCCCTTGCAGGCAGGGCTTGGGGTTTGCTGAGTGAACAGCATATTTCTACCTCAAGCAGTCTTTTCAACCATCTCTAAACATGTTGTCACTCGTGCTACATTTCTGCTGTGTCAATGAGACCAGGGACCAGTCTGTCAGGTGTTTTCTTCTGAGTTTGTCTCTGAGGGTTGTCCCCTTCTGAGCCATGTCAAATGTTTTGAAGCTGGACACCGCTGAAACTGCTATAGCTTTACTGGGTTAGGCATGTCACGATAGCACATTTTAAAGCATGATATTGCTGCAGATATATATTGTGATAAACAATAATACTTAAACTACTTAGTGGCACTGATATCATAACAATAATAAAATAATCCCAGTAAACCATTTTTAAATAGACAGTATCATTCAAAAGGCCTGAGGTGCAACAAATAAATAGCGGAATGATAATAGAAGATAGTTATTCTACCTTCTACAGCTCAAATATTAACATAGTACAGAAAAAAATAATATTTCTCCTTAGTACAAACAATATGTACCCTCTATAAATATTGAACCCCAAAATATATAGTTCCAGCATCGCTGGTTGTGCTCAAATCATATCACACATTTTAAAACATGTGTGAATGACAGAACCTCTTAGGTTATCACATGAATGTGACATAATGCTGTGATCTACTGAACTAATATTATAGTCTGACTGTGGCACGATCTCTCAGGCTTTCTTGTCTCTCCTACTGCTCTGAATCTGGACAGGTGCAAAAGACAAGCTAAGCTAACAGGTTTTCCTTAATGTCTTCAGTAAAATCAAATACCCCATTCACATGTTTTAGTAGTTTTGTGGACATCTTGCTGGAGTTTTTGATATATTTGCATGTTTCGCATGTAACACTAAAATGATATGTTTCCTGTGTAATTTTAGTTTAATTACAGCTCATAAAACCTCTCTGCACATTATTATAAAAAGAGTTAATTTGCAACTCCTCCATTTAAATGTTTTATTTCTTTTTATTACTATCTACGACAGATATTATCAGTGAAAACTCTGGTGTGGATTTGATCAAGGAAGGGTGTAAACACTTTTCATTGCAGTAAAATAATTTTACAGACTTTTGAAAAAGCCTTTACAAATACACAAGGCTCTGATGAGTATTATTATTATTTGTTACACTTAGTTGTTTTTGCAAATCAGCATTTAACAGGTGTATCTCTGAGGTGTCAGGAAGTTTATATGAAGGTGCACACAGCGTTGCTGTCTTTATGCCTAGGGCTGGGCGATATGGATCAAAAAATATATCTCGATATATTTTGCTATATCTCGATATACGATATATATCTCGATATCTGTACAGGAAAAAATAACCCCCTAAAACGGAAAACTGCAAAAACAAATATGCCAAATTCCACAAGTTCCTTTTTTAAAAAAATTAAAGTGTAAGAGGTCGGCAGTTCATATAGGAACATTTAAGATTACAAAAAACCCTAATTACATAAATAATAATTTAACTGTCAAATAAAAGAAATGAAACACATTTCCTTTGTTTCATTCATAAATAAAACAACTCAACTCAAGCTCATCTTTGCATTAACTCTGTTATCCAGACCATAATCATAACCATGAACTCTTTTAACAGAAGAAGCTCAGGATGTTCCTTATTTTAACAGATCCATGTTCCAGCAGTAAGGAGCTATGAGGTTTCCCACAATCCACTGCAGATCAAACCCAACGTTTCCAAACACTTTTGTACAAGTGACACTGCAACAGATTATTAATTAAAATCTTCTGCATAAATAGAATTTATATTACTAAACTTTACAAGATATATAGCATAACGACTCAAGAGCCACATCAGCCAGTTTGAGATTATAGTGTTAATTATTTTATTTTATGTTTTTTTTTTTGTTTTTTTTTTTTTTTTTTTTTTTTATTTTTTTTTTTTTTTTTTTTTTTTTTTTTTTTTTTTGCAGCTTTGCGCAGACTTGTTTACGTTTTACAGAAACGAAACTTTAAAAGCGCATGGCTAATTTGCATAACCAGCGCACACCACGTGCTCTTGCGGTTCAACTTCTTTTGGACTAAAGGACATGACTCGGTGGAACACGAGGATGTGCTGCTGATGGTTTTGTCTGTAAATGGTGTAAAAGATTCGTGGCGCTAGAAGCTTTTCACTGGCAGCAACTTTCGGCGTTCACGGCGATAGTGACGAGTGAAGGAGACACGAGCGAACAAAATCAGGGAGGCGGGGGCGACAGAGAAGACAAACAAGCAAAGCAGCGAAATCAAAATTGAATATAAGCATTATATCGATATATACGATATGTCAGAATTCATATCAAGTTTTTAAAAATCTCCATATATTAAAAAAAAAATAAATAAATAAATATATATATATATATATATATATATATATATATATATATATATATATATATATATATATATATATATATATATATATATATATATATATATCGCCAACCCCTATTTATGCCTGTGTGTTTTTTCTTATCTGTAACTGAGTCTAATGAGCTTCTGCAGCAGACAGAGAAGGTGCCCAGGACACAGCCCACAGTCTGAGGCTATAAATAAACCTGCCAGTCTCTTGTCTCTTTCTCTCTCTCTCTCTTTCTGCCCCCTTTCTCACTTCCCCCTCTTGTCTCTCTCCCTCTCTCTCTTTCTCTCTCTCACACAGACAGCAGTAGGGTGGACAATTGAATCGAGAATTAAGTTGGCACAATTATCACACTGCAAAGACTGCAGTTATTTAGATACCAGAATGCTATCTGCAAAGAACAAAAGTATCCTGTCTTTTTATAGAAAATGTGTCATTTAGACCTCTAGTCATGTTCTGAAATGTATGAGTCTTCTATTAGTTTACCTGCTTAATTTCTGTTGATTTTTGATGATATATGCAAAATTTATTGTTTTGGCCACACAAACCAAATGTACAAAATATAATAAAGCCTGAAAAAATGCATTGCCATGTACCCAACAAAACATACCCATAATATACCCATGATATTTTCTGAGGCAGCTGGATGGTAGCAATCTTGAACCCAAATAACCATAATGGACTTTGGAGTATGGTTTCATTGAACTAAATTATGTTGCAGGGGGCTGTATGAAAGATTTCAGAGCACTGTGAGATACATCTGCCCTGTGTGACTGTACAGGAAGTGAAAAGTATGAATACTAGTGATATTTGATATATGAGTTCTTCTGTCAAAAAGAAAACACTCAGTTCTGTCTTGTGATGTCATGTGGTAATACAGGAAGTGCTCCATTGTATTTTTAAGCTCTATATACTTCACTAGAATCATTTGGATCATTTCAGCCTTGCAGCCTTGAATTACCCATGTCTAGTGAACAAAAGGTAAAAAAGGTAAAAGGTAGCTGTTAACTTGTAAACTACCACTTCCTGACCTCATACGGTGGAACAGAGCATTTTGATCTTTGGAGATGAGGTCAGATTAAATAGCTCAGATTTCCTGTGTTATATAGCATGCTCTCATAACTCTTTACTGTTCCTGCAGGGTGATAAATGCTGGTAAAAGTGCTCTGAATGAGGACCAGGCTTGCTGTGAGGTGGTGGTTGCCCGGAGACGTCCCATGAGCTACTGCCCCCCCTCCACCCCCAGTCGGACCCCCACAGCCAAGAGGCGCAACTCCCTCCCTAACGGAGAGAGCCTTGCACTCCGTGTGGACTATGGCAGAATGGGAGAGGTACCAGAATATAGGAATCAATCATTTATGTAGTTAGTTGGATTTTGTGTGTAATTTGGCTCATTTAGTTTATGTGCTTGTCTCAATGAAGAGATTATTGTTTTGTCTGGAAAGTTTCATATTATAGTATTTGCGTTGTGTATTATTCTGTTACAGATGTTTATTTTTGTTAAGCCAAAGATGTTCATTTTGTCTTCTTATGTACGTTAACTTCTTGGGTTCTTTTTAAAGACAATACAGTAAAGTGTATTTACCTTGCTGACATGTTTTGACTGCTGCTGCAAGCCGTCTTCAGAACTGTCCCTGGTGTTGGTGGTGACGTGTCGCATATCAGCTGTTGTTACTTCCTGTAGGCGTGGTCAGCCTGATGGCCCTGGCAGGTCACTCAGACTGACCATGCCTCCCGGAGCCATATCTTTTCTGGACATTAAAATCCACCACATCGGATACGACAGTATCAAAATTACAGTATGACGGAAACCCACACACACTGACCAATATCTACTCTGGACGTCCAAACATCCCACTGCACACAAACTTTCAGTAGTAAGAACACTATTCGAACGGGCCACACTCATCACAGACCGACAGGGAGGAAGAGGAGAGACACATCATACAAGCACTCAAACAATGCCAATATCCCAGCTGAGCCATAAACAAAGGCAGATGACAAGTTCAATAAAACCAACAAACCCAGGAAAAAAAAACAACAAACCAACAGAGGCAGCAGGACCATAAGAACACAGTCACACTACCGTACATTAGAGGTATAACTGAACCCATCCAGAGAGTCATGAAAAGACACAACATAAGCACTGTAGTAAAACCATACACAAAACTCCGCCAACAGCTCGTACACCCCAAAGATAAAATCCCACAAGAACAAAAATGCAACACCGTATACAAAATCCAATGCAAATCATGCAATAAATCATACATATGGGAAACAAGCCGGGGATTCCACATTCTAAAAAAGGAACACCAAAAGGAATGCGAAAAGGAAACATCAGGGAGACTCACCAGAACACAAAAAGACAAAGCAGAACAGGAAAACCTAAAATCCACCATATCAGATCACTGTAAAAGAAATAACCACATTATGGATTGGGACGGGGCTCGGGTCATTGGATCGGAAAACAACAATTTCAAACGCTGGATCAGGGAGGCCATTGAAATCAGGAGGCACAGACAGCATTAACCGTGATGACGGAGCGTTCCTCCTTTCACACACCTGGGACACCCTCCTCCAGAGAACAAAAGGCGACGGGAGGCATGGTCAGTCTGAGCAACCTGCCAGGTCCATCAGGTTGACCACAACTACAGGAAGTAACAACAGCTGATATACGACACGTCATCACCAACACCAGGGACAGTTCTGAAGATGGCTTGCAGCTAGGAGCCGAAACATGTCAGCAAGGTAAACACACTTTACTGTATTGTCTTTTAAAAGAACCAAAGAAGTTTATTTTTGTTGCTAAAAATGTCGTGACATTTTGAGGAGGACAGGCTAAAATTGGGAAACTGGAATTTTCACTTCATCGGTATGACTTGTCAGGGGCAAAAAATGACAAAAATACAAACCAGTGTGTCTAATTTTAATTTAGCTATATTGAGTTTATTTTTTGTTTGCTGCATTCTATAGTTTTATACTATTTGTATTTATATTGTATTTGTCACTGAAAGCAGAGTAAGCTTTCAGTGACAAATACAATATAAATACAAATAGTCATGGAAATAAAGAAGCAAAATTAAAGGTGGGTCCAAACTTTTGACTTGTAGTATATAAGGTAATGCAGTTAGTTATAGTTCAGCACTACAAGGACCAACAGACTATGTACTGAAAATTACACAGTTGAAATCCTTTTAAAATGTTTGTGTCTTCATTCAAGAATGTCACACAGTACAAGCTTTGGTCTGGGTAAACTGCAGTAGAAGTCATTCGAATGCTTAAAAGATAAAATGATGTGAACTTGAACTACCAAGATCAAAAACATGATATAGATCCTATTATGTGAGTGAGTCATGGCTTCTCCCAGGTCTCTCCTCTGAGGTGAGTCACGCTGTTATATTAGGAGGATTTGTCATTCCCTTTAATCTGTTTTTGATTCACCTGTCAAATTATTTTCAACTAATTTCATTACAGTTGGTTTAAAACAGTGCAAAAGATATGAATAGTTTTAGATGGTATATTATTTTTAGCAATAGTGATTAGTTTAGTTGTAAAGCTTTGTTTGTTGATCAGAGAAGTTTGGCCTGCACTACTTTTATAACAGTAGGAAAAAAATATTAAAACTACACACACTTGAACAATACAGAAATGTATTACTTAATTTAATGTTTCTGAATATATGTTTGTGCAGGACAATGAGGGGCTGGTGTACCACTACTGGGCCCTGTTTGATGGTCACGCAGGTTCAGGAGCAGCAGTGGTAGCGTCCAGACTTCTACAACACCACATCGCCTGTCAGCTCCAGGCGGTCATCGAAATCCTCCGAAATGTAGCCTCCCCACCCCCCACCATTCTGGGGGAGGAGCCCGAGAACAACCCCTACCTCCAGGGCACCACCCCGGGACCCCACCGGCCCACCCTGACCCGGGCCGCTTCACTTCGGGGGGCAGCGGGAGCACCAGGGTCCCCCTCCAACACCCCCCCTCCACCAAGGTTCTTCACCGAGAAGAGAGTCCTGCATGAAAGTCTGGTCGTAGGAGCTATTGAGAATGCCTTCAAAGAGATGGTGAGGACATAAAAACTGCATTATTGAGATATCTGATAAATGAAATCATGTTCAAATAACAACCAAAAGATATACATGAAGGGATTTTTTAAATTTAAAATCAAGAACATAGTTTTCAAATCAATATTTTCAAAAGGGAAAGTAAGTAAGTCTTTATTTATATAGCACTTTTCACAGACATACAGTATGTCACAAAGACACTTTACAGATCATTTTTCATAGATTCATTATTCTTTTTCTCTATACCCGGTGGTGGTATGCTACTATTGTAGCCACAGCTGCCCTAGGGCACACTGACGGAAGCGCAGCTGCCATCCCAATCGGTGCCTTCGGACCCTCCAACCACCACCACCACTCACGCACATATCACTTTCATACTAGGCAATGAGGGTGGAGTGTATTGCCTAAGGACACAACAACAGTTTTTGTAACTGGAGCCCCACTGTGACACCTGATTTTCCCAGTGGTCTCCCATCCAAGTACAAACCTGGCCCGGCCTTGCTTAGCTTCTGAGATCTGACGGGATCAGGCTTTGACAAGCTGGTATGGCCACAAAAGGTTGGGAGTGTGGAGAAGCAAATGCTTATTTGTTCCCACCCCCTTTTACAATACCATTATAGCAGTCATCATGCTCATCATGCCATGCTCTTAGTGAACTACTAAGTCACTTTACTCCATACACTAAATAAATAATTGCATTTTCGAAATGTTTTAGTGTACATTCAACATGTAATATATGAGTTGATAATCGATTAGTCAAACGATTATTTCTATTGTACTTTGAGGCTTTTTAAATACATTATGATGTGACCATTTGAGAAATGTTATCAGAAGATCTTTCTCTATGTGTTGTAGAATCTGCAGAGTCCAGTTAATGATTACATTATCCAAATATGCCTTCAAGTTTAAAAATATTCAACTAGCCACAATATGTCATTAGTTACCAGATCACTGATTATCCATAGCAGAAATATATGTGCAAAATGTATCATCAAACACCAAAGCCTCAGTGGTAAGTAATACAATTACCACTAGATGGCAATAGCTAACAAAGATTTTCCTTAGAATGCCTTTCTGCTCCCTTCAGTCTCCCTCAGGGTCTCATCAGAAACACAATGTCATCAGGCATAATGGTGAGCAGTGTGGTACACCAGATGCCCTGCAGTGCTTAAAACAGTTGTTCTGTGGCTAAACAACATGTAAAAAAAAAACAATAATTGGATTTCTTATGCGGGTGCCACAGATAACTACCTGGACTAGCTAACTAGATGTATCAACAGGCAATTTCATTTAGTTTTGAAAAGAAAAAAAAAAAAAGAACCTTTTTCTTTTTATTCACAATTGAGCAATTAAAAATAATTGGACAGTAATCATTGTAATACAGTAGAAGACTTAAGGAAATTAGTTTGGTTTATTACATTTTAGAAAAAATATAGGTTTAATTTGTCACATCTGGACCTATAGGAGACCAACATCTTTCAAAGGCATCTTGATTTGGCTCGCTAGAAATGTTTTTGCCCCATAGTTTTAACGTGTTTTATGTATAATACAGTGGCAACACCAGGAAACAATGTTATACTAATTTATCTTTCAAACTAACAAGGAGAATGATTTGAGGTCAAATTTTGAATCGCCACAGATGACGACCATTAAAGAGCATGTACAAATAATCTTTCTCATTCAGCAGTTCTTTGTTTCAAGTAGGGCTGGCTGGATTCAATCATGTCTAGAGAAACTGAAAACAGTTTCTGGTTGGGGTTGATGTGCAGATCATATGGCACATCAACCCCTGTTTTCACCACAACCAGAATGCACCTTCTGCTTTGTACTTACTTCGTTCTCTAATTTTATTTTTTTAATCTGTGATACAAATGAAAAAAAACAAAACAATCTGCTACTTGCTGACGTGAAGTGCAGCTATACATGCTCCATGGAGATGTAATGGTTGTTGTAATGACGTTTATGGCGACGTCTGCTCCAATAGGGCACCTCAATTTTCCAACATGGTAGTCAGTGGACTTGTTTCTTTTATTAAGCTGTTTTAGATTAATATTGAGATTGATGTGCAAAATTATAACATAAGGATCCACGGGAGTTTATGATTATGACTACATAACAGACACAAGCACAATGTCTTCATTAAAACAGGGTGTGGATGAGTTTATAATAAATTTAAATTACATAGTATCTGTATCAATATTGGCCATGAAAACAAAAAAACATATATTGGTCAATCTTTAATTATATCTAATTGTCAATGATATGTTTGGGTTTTTATAATTGAAAAGTCCGCAACCAATTCTCTGTCAGTAAAACAGAGTCTGTGATTTGGAGCAGAGTTCAAATTTTGGAAGTTAATCAATTTGAGATAATCGACCACCCCTAGTTTTAAGTGGACAAGGGACAGCTCCACTCCAATTTTAATAACTGTACAATTGGATTGCGTAGAATAAAGCTTGTTCTTACCTTAGGCTTTCTGTAATGTTTTGTGTTTATGTTTTCAGGATGCACAGATTGAAAGAGAGAGACACGTGTTTAACATCACAGGAGGCTGCACTGCTCTCACCGTGGTCTACCTCCTCGGAAAACTCTATGTGGGGAATGCAGGAGACAGCAGGTGAGCTCTTTCTTCTGTTTTATCTATGAAACCAAAGTCTAATTACACTGCAGGGAATTTCAGAGTGCATCTATACATCCATAATAAGCCACTATTTGAGGTAATAGAGCAGGTTCTTTTAAGTTCAACAAGTTAGACAACACAATCTTGCCCTAAATGGCCCCTAAGTTATAATGCTGTTTTCTTAATTATATACAAACATACCTGGAGTTGTGTTTTGCTTCATTCACACATGCATATTTAGGCTACCTAGTTCGTCTCTTTAACAGTTCTTCTCTTTAAAACACTCCGTTCCACCTTGTGATGTCATGTGGTAATACAGGAAGTGCTCCACTTTGTTTTTGAACTCCATACACCTTCACTAGAATCATTTAGGTCATTTCAGCCCTGGAATTGCCCATCTCTGTTGAACTAACGGTAAAAGGTAGCTGCTAAAATTACCACTAAATGACATCACAAGGTGGAACGGAGCATTGTAAGCTTTGGAGATATAGACAGACTATTAATTAAGGGTTAAGCAAACACGTGCGAATAAAACAAGACACAACTCTGTGTATGTTTTTGAGGAGGTAACAACAATATAACATGGTTTAAAGCACATAAGAATCAGTTTTGTCTAATATAGGACCTTTAAATTTTGAGTAAATATTTTGTCTGTTTGTTTTTATTGATGTGGGCAAAAGTATCGAGTAAAGTATTGAGGATTAGTTGTGCATTGATGTTTGGTAACTTACTCATTTTACAGAGGTAAAGAGCATATCTTAAATTATTGGAATACCAAGCAAGATTATACGATTTTGAACTAGTATAAAACCACATAGACTAGTATACACCTATGGACCACTATAGGACCTACCTGGATGACTGAGGGATTGCACAGATAGGCCACATGATAATACTAAAGAATGTTCTATGGTTTAATGTTGAAAATCACATTTTATTGTCTAAATTAAGAGTGTTTTTTTATTATCATTATCTTTTTGGAATCAATTTTGAGTATTGAGTATCAATTATATTCCTTAGTATCAGAATAGAGTTTGAAATTATACATCTTTAATTTGTTCCTTTCCCAGAGCAATCATCGTGAGAAACAACGAGATCATTCCCATGTCAACAGAGTTCACCCCTGAGACAGAACGGCAGCGGCTGCAGTTCCTGGTGAGAAGGATAATGCTTTTTTAAATTTTGTTGTAGTTTCACAAAGCAATATCCCAACTGTGGCTTTTTATTGTGTGTTTACAAAGCAAGCTGCTCAATCAGGCACTTTATATGCAGCTGCTTTCTAAAGAGCAGTGCTGCAAAGTGAAATCAATTAATGTGAGGGATGCTGGCTCTGAGGCTGGCTCTGGTATTTTAGCACTTGTACAAGAGCTAAATTTCTCAAATTGATATAAGGTGTTAGGGTTAAGGTTAAGGTTAGGGGAAAAAAACAAAAACAATAAAATGCTTATTTCACTATTTCAACTATATTCACTTACATATGTATACACTATACTATTTTATATGAGATCACCTTGTAACCATCGATTTAGGAATCCCTCAATGATCAATGAACAAATGTAAGATGTATAATAGATTTAAAAGAATCAGCTATGATGCTATGGATTTCAGAATTATGAAAATGTAGCACCATTAGCATAGCCATAATGAAAATCAGTCCTCAAAATATTGCCTATAACTTGGAAACAGAAACAGACAAACAAGTAGGGTTTTCAAAATACACTGATAGTGATTGGAACTAAAATTTGTCTTGATATATGTGTTAATGAGTATGAATATGTATAAAAAACTAAAATTATGTTTGTTGAAAATTATATTTTAATTTTTTAAAATGTGATATTATCGCCACACTACTGTTTAACACTCTAAATGTAATTTCGTTGTTACTTCTGACATTGACAATAAATCCTTGAATCCTTAAACTTTGCATTGAGCATTAAACCTTTCCTTTAGTATCAAAATCAGTTTGAACTGTTATTATTGTAAACAAACACCACATCCTCCTAAATTGCTCTGTAAAAGTCACATTCCTGTCAACAATCCAGTCTCCCTCCTTCACACCAGTTTAATTCTGTGCAGGGCTTCATGCAGCCTCACCTGTTGGGAAACGAGTTCACACATCTGGAATTTCCCCGGAGAGTGCAGAGGAAAGAGGTGGGCAAGAGGATGCTGTACCGCGACTTTACCATGAACGGCTGGTAAGACACGACCTTAAGTAACCCCTTCTTTTACCTGCGCACTGCTCTCTATGCTATAAATTACACCTGTCAAACTGCAGCACAACATCATAATCCTATCCATGAAATATTCAGCTCTATATGCGGTGGAAAGCCCAGCAGCAAAATAATTGGGGAGAAGGCAGAAGTTGATGTGATATGATGATAGAGAGTGAATGGTGGTGGATGCAGGGATGTTATGTGGGTTAGCCAGGCTCCATGCTGTTTGTCTGGAGTTGCAGTAGGAGCCAGTAATGAGACTCACACACGCACACACGCACACACACAGACACAGCACACGGTGTACTGGCTTCTCTTTGTGATTTGTGATATATATTTCAGCATAAGACAGGTGTCCCGAGAGGAGAGGGGCGCAGGCTACGTGTGCTACTGCAGCAGTTTTCACTAGCCTGTATGGGACTGTAGTTATTTGGAGTTATTTGGAGGCAGTGTAAAATACTATGGGCACTTAAGCAATATATAAAGATTTTTATTAGAAAATTTTAATTTGTTGATAAATACTCATTCAAACAGAACACTTAATGCAAGGAAAATCACTACCCCCTCTGTCAGACTTGCACGATCAGTGTCCATACCTGTACAATTGTATTGGACACAGAATAGTAAATGCAGCTAGACAGTCTGGGGAAGATGAGTGAGTAACCCAATGCTGTGGAATAGGATCCAGACTCCTCAAATGACCCCATTAATTACAGGGACTGCAGATTTATGACCTCAAACTACAGTTGCTTACGATTTCCGTGAGCAAACTTTCCAGGAACTGCTTTTACTACCAAGTACAAACAAATGGTTGCTTTTGTTTTCTGTCTGGACATAATCAATCTCACTTGTATTTTGGAGTTTCTTTACTCTTTGAAATCAACACATACTTGAGCAAATAAATAAGTATAAGTAAAATTGTCATTGTTATCCCTTCATAAAGGTTGTTCTGGGAATCATAATGTTTCAAAGGGCCTATATTACGGTACATTCTGATCTATGTATAATATTGTTTTCTCATCAAAAACATATCCAGAGTTGTGTTTTGTTTCATTCACATAGTTTAATACACCAATCATGCATATTTAGGTTGTAATCTTCTCTCAGACAGAAAACGCTTATCTTGTGGTGTCATATGGTAAATTAGGAAGTGCTCCACTGTGTTTTTAAACTCCACACACCTTCAAAAGAATAATTTGGGTGATTTTGCTTCTACCTCTACATGATACATCATATCATCACATCAGGTGGAACAAAGCATTTTGAGCTTTGGAGATGTAGATGGCAGGATTACTCAAAAGTGTGTGAATGAAACAAACTACTTTTATGTTTTTGATAAAGTAACAACATTCTGAAATAGCTTAAAGTTCACAAGAGTCAATTTAGCATAAAACAGGACCTTTAAACAGTTTAGGCTAATTGGTTTAAGGTTCAAATTTAGGTTTAAAATTGCTCAACCGGACCAAGTAACGAGCCATTTTAGATTACAAAAAAACAAACAAAACAAAAAAAAACTCTTGATTGAACAGCAATAAGAAATACATTTAATAGCCTTATAATAACTTTCTGCTTGACCATTTTTACAAGCATCTGAAGATTGAACAGTTGTCTGATGTGTTGCAGGGGCTGGTCACAGAGCCTCCTGCATTTGAACAGAAAGTAGGAGGGATCGGATCTCCAGGCAAATAAAACTGGAATTTTTATCACACAATTCTCTTTTTGAATAACTTGTTTCAGTAATGTTAATTCATGATTTAAAGCAAACACTTGCTGTAGGCTACATCTATTCGAACTGCCAAAAAGAGCATACATCCATCAGTCTTAAACAGAATGGTGACAGTTTGAATAAATTATGATTATGAAAAACAAGAGCCCTAAAAGAATAACACATCACATTCACGCACTGCTTCTCCATCATCCAACCAGTCTGAAAAGTCAAAAGAAATGAAAGTGCATGATGCTTTAGGTCACAGAAAGTTCATGCCTCACTCTTTACAGAGGAGAGAGTGGTCAGAGAGAAGTGTTTGAAGTGTGTGTAGATATGGATGAACTGACTCCTAACGCTAATGCTAATCTAGCCTGTCTCCATACATCTGCAGCAGACGGCGAGGCTCTCTGTCACTTCAAAGCACTGTGTTTTCAGATCTCAGACTCCCGATTGTGAACTTCTCTTCATATTTTGGATTTTTTCTTATGCAACTTCCTTCTCACAGTAAATAATATTTGTGGGCCCAGATAAGATAAATGACTTACTGCTAGCTTTATTGTTTTGCCCTATGATGACAGTCATTGCTGAAAATATATGGCTTCCTTATTAGAGGGGTTGAAAAAAAATACAGAATTGAGCAAAAAATTCTTTTTTTTCTGATTATGATATGAGTTTACGACTCCAGCAGCTATCTTGCCAACGCTGCTATGCTTAAGGTAAAATAAAACGTAATTAATCTCAAAGTGGAGAAATTGGCAGCTGTTGACTCAAATGCCTCATCATTAGTTATGCCCTTTCTCATCACACTTTGAGAGAGGACAACCTTTTGGAAATGGTGTTTAAGGTGCTCTGTGTAACCTATTTGGTTGGAGCTAGACCACTGGCTTCTATTCATGATGTTATTTCTTTACCTGAGATATTCCACGGTATGGCATTTTTTCTATTATACATGTTTTGTTATTGCTCAAAAATACGCTTAAGAGCACGTATTCTTACTGTGAGTAGAGTTGCTTCCCCAGACTTGACCTGTAACTTGACCAGGTGAATAACGCCATGCTGTGGAACATTCTAGGGAAAGCAATAACATCTCCATGGAGGCAAACTGGTGTCAGACCCTCCATCAGAAATGATACATAGTGTACTTTTAAATGTGTGTTAGTGTTTTACTCTACATTCCCAAAGTTTTGCATTTATCTTTGGAGATACAAGAAAAGAAAGTGACCATAATCCTTAGAAAAAGCAGTTTTGTACTTGTGAGATTCTTCTGTGACAGCTATAAACGTCAAAAGATATATTCACCCCCTCTTTTTCTGAACACAGGGCATACAAGACCATAGAGGATGAAGATCTCAAGTTCCCTCTGATATTTGGTGAAGGGAAAAAGGTAGGTTTGAGTCAGCTACATCTTTTCCTCATCTTGTACAATCCAGAGACAACCTTCACTGCCTTTATGTGGTTCAGTTTGACGTGTACATATATGGTGCATGTCTGCCAAGCTCCAGAGAGAGTGGGCGAAGGCTTGCTCTGAGATACATGCTGCCTTTGTGTGTTCAGTGTCAGAATCTAAAGAAAAATCCCATCTGCTTCCCTCCTCCAGCACAAATGCATAACAGGCTCCAACACTGTCAAATCTGGGCTAAAGGTACATCGCCCAAAACCACAGTCTCCGTTATTAACAAGAGATTTTTTTTACCTAGTTTGTAAAAAGAAATTGGACTAGATACATTTTTCTTAATTTGTTTTTGTAATACATGTTTCCATCGTGCTCAAATTTGTTTTACAATCCAGCATTTTTCAATTTGCTGTAAGCTACTTTTCCACATTTATTGGGCCATTATTTATTTCTGTCTTTCTAAGGGAAATCAGGTACGTATTTATTAAAAAACAATGCAACAAATGTATTATAGAAAATACATTTTGTTATGAATTTTACAAAAGGGAAGAGGTAATTTGTGAACTTAACTGCAACTACACTTCAGTTTGGTATAGATTTAAAAATATTGATAATGACGAATATGGCCAACACACACAGCCAGAAAAAAAATCTGGCATCGGTTTTAGCTGAAAAAAATCCACATTGGAGCATCCCTACTATTGTTTGCTACACCTTATAAAATATAACCTATATAATGCCCTATTATCCTCTATAAAAGCACATTGTCCAAATACAACTACAGAAATCACATACTTTTGCTCGAATCCTCCATTGGCTTCCATATGCAGGTGGAAGACTCAATCTCAAACCACTTGAAATAAATGACACCAATTCTTCTGCCTCTCTGCGGTGATTGCTTTTGTTTCGTAATTTTGCGTTTGATGCTCCAAAAAGACACAAAGAAGTCGCTTCTGCCCACACACTGCGCCATTGTTGTCTCTGTGAATGGTGCAATAATTCAACGACTGTGCTCAGTGAAAGGAGAAGTGAAAGAATTTGATAATGAAAAAGAAAAGGTGAAGGAATACTGCTGGGACCAGAGGCGTGTGACCTTTAGCTGATGAGTGTGAGCCCTCGGTGTGTATTACAACCAATAGACTATTTCTGCTTATTGATGGTCGTTTTATGATTGATCTAATTTTGATTTGTCTGACAAGCATTCGATCTATAATTTATCATTTGGATCATTTGTCTTTACTGTTCACATGTTTACCTATCCAGGAGCATTATTAAAGGTCCAGTATTACACAAAATTGACTTTAGGAAGCTTTTCGTCATGGTAGAATGTTTTTACCACTTCAAAAACTTACCTGGACTTAGTGTATGTTTTGTTTCATTCACACATGTTTGAGTAATCTAGCATTTTAGTCTGTCTACTTCTCCAAAGCTCAAAATGTCCTGTTCAGGCTTGTGATGTCATGTAGTGGTAGTTTTCAGGTTAACAGCTACCGTTTACCTTTTTAGTTCAATAGAGACAGGCAATACCAGGGATGAAATCACCATCAATCAAAGAATATGGAGTTTAAAAGCAGTGGAGCACTTCCTGTATTACCACATAACATCAAGGTGAAACAGATTTTTGTTGTTGTTGTTGTTGTTGTTTAAGAGAAGAACTAAATATGCAGCCTTTGCGCTAAACATGTGTGAAGAAAACAAAACACAAATCCAGGTATGTTTGTGATGAGGAAACATCTTTATAACATCGATGAGAAAATTGCGTAATATGGGCCCTAAGACTATTTTACTGACTCCTTCGATGGATTGCAGAGCATGACATTCAGTGCTCTTTTAAATCAAACTGCTCGTACATATATTTGCAATCTGATATTGAACATGCGTGTTGACTGTGAAGCCCATTGATAGACACTAAGCAGAGCCTGGTTCAGTGCCAGTGTGTATGAGAGCTATCTGACACAGGGCTGACACAGAGCAGGCAGTGTGGTTATATGGGATCAAGATGGTGTCCATATGCTCACTAACTGTTAACAGGCACGTCACTTTCTCATAATACGCTTTCAGGAATATATGTATACTAAATGATTCTGATATTTTATACACTACACACTAACTTCACTGTGTCTCCATAGAGGTGTCATTGATTTGCCTGGAATGTTCCACAGTATGGCATTGAACGTGATGGTATTTTTTATTGCTCAAAAATATTTTGAAGAACATGGTTTCTTGCTATATGTGGCCTCTCTGCAGAGCTGACATGTAACTTGACCTGGTGCTTGTTTTCAAGGAGATATACTAGTTTAATACCATATTGTGTAACATTCCGAGAACTATGTTGATAATGTTATTGTATTATGATAGCATTATTATAATATCCACAGTATGGCTTTGAATGTATACCATACTGTGAATATTATGATAATTCTGTGGATATTATGATGTGTGATATGATCTATAAAGTTCCTAGAAACAAAAAGTAGTTTATTTTTCATCTTTTGCAGGCTCGAGTGCTGGCAACAATTGGAGTAACTCGAGGACTAGGGGACCATGATCTTAAAGTTCACGACTCAAATATCTTCATTAAACCCTTCCTCTCATGTATACCTGAGGTAAGACTTTTGTTATGACACACATGCTAATAGACATGCTTTACATGTGGTTCTCTGTACTTCTTTTCTCTTGACTTTTACAGTTTTTTTTTTTTTTTTTTGTCATAAATTGTTGAATAGTTTTGTATATGTAGACAACTTGACTGCAATAAGGTCCCTAATTTGAACTTGTCAAATTTGCATGTTCTCCATATGACTGGGTGGGTTTCAATCTTGGACACGCACAATAAAGCCGTTCCCTCTTGACCAAGGCCTGGAAAAGGGTCACTCTCACTAACACTATCCTTCAATAGATAATTAGACGATTTGTAAATAAGTAGTTTCTGGAGTTTGGAAACAAGACAAAACAGTTAATCTAGTACACAAATATTATAATTTCTCAGATATTTACCAGATTTTACAATGCAAGCTAAGAGAGTAGAGAAAGACCGGATATATCTATTGGCTGATATATTGGGCCGATATTTGTACTTTTTAGCATATCAACTATCAGCCTAAAATCTCCAGCACAGAGATTTGCCTAGAACATACACACAAAGCTTTATTCTAACACTTTAATACATTGAGATAACTGCACTAAACGTGACCACACAGCTCTCTTAAAGATTTGTTGCAACAAAAAAATTATAATAATGGCTGTGGGTTGTAGTAAATTTAAATTTCATAATTTGATTAAAATAATCAAAATCAGCCCTATATATCGGCTCAAAAATATCGGCAGAGCTTATCGGTTGCTCTGGATTCTAAACAGTCGATATCACAATCGTCCAAAACATATTTGTTGATCTCTATAAAAGGGGCATATGTTTTTTACTCATTCTTTCTATACTCTTCACCTTAACAACCTCATCCTCTCTGAACCTTTGCTAAAGGAGTATTTTGCTGCCTTTTGTCTGAAGCTGGTCCCTGCGTGGCTCAGACCCTGCGTGCACCTGTCTGTCTGTCTGTCTGCCACGCTTTCATCTCCTCCTGTAGTTTCATCTTATAGCTTTGCATTTTCTCTCAAGAGCTTTGAGCTTGATCTTTAATTCATTCGTAGTTCACACTGGGTTCATGTTAACTTCATTCTTCAAGTGGAGGGAATGTGAGGATATACCTTGGGTTTTCAAAAACATATTCGATGTAGCTACAGATTGCAGAATATTTGAGTTGTTTAAAATACTGAACAAGAGACATTGTTGCTGTGAGAACAATCCTGTACTGAACTTTTGCCTCCTCCCACACAGGATAGTAGAATATATTTTTATTGGGGAGGTGATATAGTGTGCCATAGCTCCCTGTAGCTTCATGTTTCTGTATAAAAAAAATGTGATGCAGTGTGCCTTCACGAATATAAAGTACTGAACATGCAGCAATGAAAATCTGTTAAAAAAGAAAATGTATTTGCTACGAACAAAGACATCAAAATGGATCACCACATTGATTAGAAGTGAATAAAAATATAATTTCATCATGAATGTCTATGGGCATGTCAAAATTAAAGTGCTTAAAACAAAGAAATTAAATAAATTTGACTTAGACAACCTTATTGATCCACAATTACTTATATACTGTAGCTCACTAATTATAATGTAAGATCAGCTTTTAATAACAAAGAGCAAAGAGAATAGTAATTTGAATTATAAAAGTAGTAGTGACAAAACTCATAAGACAGCAATGACACTATGGTAAGTTTGGGAAACTGAGATCGAGAGAAACGTATTGAGAACTACTGAGAGCGTTTGATGCTGGTACCTGATTATTTCACTATTAGTCCCTTACTGTTGTAACCTGGACAGTGGCACATGTTTATGATTTGGCCTGGTTGGTTCCAGGTGAGGGTGTATAACCTGATGCAGTATGAGCATGGAGCAGACGATGTTCTGGTGATGGGGACTGATGGTCTCTGGGACGTCCTGACGAACCAGGAGGTGGCCGAGTCTGTCACCACATTTCTGGCCAACTGTGACCCTGATGATCTGCACAGGTGAGATAAACATGTTACTTTTCATCAGGCCTATTTGTCACTAGTTTATTTACATTGTGTTGTTCAAACAAACCACAAACCTACAGGACCACTTTTTGAAATGCTTATTTCTAACTTGAAGGCCTTTTGCCACTAACCCAAGAGGCTTTGTCAGTTTTGAGCATTCTTCTGCATGACAGGGATTGCAAAGCAAGTATCTGATTTTGAGGAGAGAAGGTGGAAAAGGAGAAAGTAGCTACAGAGATTCATCTGTCGAAGCAGTTCCTAGTTCTCACAGACCTTTTGGCACATGAATTCACATTCATGCATGTGAATTCATGACAGTCAATCAGCTCTTATTCTAAAGCGTCATATAGTGACTCATATGGCTCTGTCTTACAAGTTTGACATCTATAAAATGTTTTATAATTAGATGAAGATAGCGAGCAGTGGTCTGATTTTGTTTCTGTAATGATACACTTTCTGGGGAGAAAAACAAAATGTACTCATGTGAAAGAATAAGGTTGTGAAAATAAGTAAATACAGTATATTGAATTACCCAAGCACATACACTGCATCATCCACTATTTGACTTTTTACACTAAATTCTGACTAATATTGATCCATGTTGTTCCATATTCATTGTGAAAAATCGGTCTTAAACTTTTACTGCATTGTTTTAAGACAGTTGAGCAGCATGATAGTTCTGTCTCTTCTTGTCAGATACACCATGGCAGCCCAGGACCTGGTGATGCGTGCCCGAGGGGTGCTGCGGGATCGAGGATGGAGGATCACCAACGAGAGGCTGGGCTCTGGAGACGACATCTCGGTCTTCATTATCCCCCTCATGTACGGCAACCGCCAGCACTGAACCACTCTCAACCACCCTCGTGCGCCCCTAACTGCCCCCGACCACACTGACAGGTCAAATCTGGTGTCAGAGACTTCTTGCAGTCTCCCCTCTTCCACTTAAGTTTTTTTTTTTGGCTATTTCTCTGCAGAAGTTGAGAAGGTCAGAAAACACATTTGGGAGACAAAACCTTCACTATCACTATCATCACTATCTTAGCTGAAGATTTTAACTATGGTGTATGTTTTTGGTTGTGGGGAGTGCCTGGAAGAAACCCACCCAAACAGGGAGAGAAGTGTGAAACCCCAACACAGAAAGGCTTCGGCAGTTGAACCCAGAACCTTCTTGCTGTGAGGTGAGAGGACTAGCCTGTAGTTAGCTAGATATCGTGCCACCAGATTCAGTGGCACATTATCGCTAAATCAAAACTTATCTATACTAAAAGAAGAATTTACATGACACTAACTTACACTGTAAATGCCCCATCAGAAGTGTACTCGGGCCACTGTTTGAGAACCTTTTAGCATTTCCTCTTTGGCCTATGGCTTTAGTAAAACATTTAATGGCAGCAGTATCATAAACACTATTGACTTTACCTGAACATCTGCAGAGAAATAAATAAGGATGAAGAGAAAATGCTGTAAAATACTGAGCCTCTTTTCCCTAATTGTCCTTAATGTACAGCAGCCCTGTTTATATACTGTTATACCTCCTAATGTTACAAAGAAGGAAAAGCTTTGTACCTCCAACAGTGACAATGTGTTACTTATCGTATATCTGTTCCTCTAAAGGCAAAAAAATACTGCACTGATCTGCATGGCATTTGAAAGGGCATGGGTCAGGAACAAGCTCATACAATGATTCATTTGTATATGCTAGTGGCTAGTGAGTGGAGAGCTGCTCCCAGAAAGATATTATTGAATTTCCATGTACTTATTATTATTTTTTTTATATATATATTTCATATTTGTCATTCACTCATTATACCGTAGCTTTGTAAGAAGAGACATTTTACATTTTAGGATAACCAATAGACAGTTAAGTATGGCATAGTTCTGTAAGGCCAAAGTAGAGACACCAAAAGTTTACAACATTTAAAAAGCAAGGAAACACAGGACTTTCTTGCTTTATGTAAGTTAAATGTTCTGTACAAATAGAGACTTTTAAAGTAAATTTTAATTTCAATTTAACTTTTACACATTAAAAATACACATCAAGCTATATATACATTCGGGCCATGTATTACAAAGAGATAACTGCTTAATTTGGTAACTTGGAAGTTAATATTAATAATAATATTATACATTGGTCTTCGGTGCTAAGGCAAGGTGCAATGGTTTTGGATTCTGTGTAGTTACTATCTTGGATTTTGGTATTACAAAGATAGTAACTACACTGGAAAATTGTACATGTTATAAATCAGGGGTGTCCAAACTATGGCCTGGGGACCAAACGAGGCCCTCAGACAGTTTTTTGTTGGCTCTTAAGCCTCCTGCTGAATTAGCCTAAATGATTGATGACAGTACATTTACATAAAGTAATTCAGCAAATATAACCACAAAAACATATCTTATACAAAGATCAGATTAATCTTCAGTAAAGGTATGCTGGCTCCATCAGTGCATCTATCTGAATATCTCGGTCTGTGGTCATCCGCTTCCAATATTTAGTTTTATAATGCAGCCCTCATTAAAAATAAAATAAAAATAAAAATGTATCACTCTCACCTGGGGCACATATTTGAATGCATATTTGGGGCTGGTCCTGTTGCAGAAGTAGTTTTTAACATTCCTGTCCAACATCTTCAACCTGTCAGGATAATTGGTCCTTTGGCACCAATTTATTCAGTTTGACCTGAATGAATTGCTAACATGCTTGAAGACACCACTCAGATTGCCAATGTTAGCAAGTCTAGAGGCCCATCTTCTGCAGTTTAATTAGCTTTGCAGTACACGGCCCAGTAGATACACAGATAAAACAACCAAAACAGCACCGTGGATGTCATATCACTAGCTTACATTGATATTTTACATTTTATTAGTGGAAGACCAGATTGATCGAGTACTGGAAAAAGTCCCACAATTTCACAGTTGTGTTGTTAATCATGAACATATTTATTTATACTCTCTGTTGTTACTGAACATAAATTCCATTGTCCTTGACGCACAACAGGAGGCATGGATAGTAGCAGGGCCGATCTGATGATAGTTGTAACTTTGTGAAGGAGCAATCAGATGTTGTTTTAAGCTGTTTTTGCTTATAGCTGTTTTGCATGTATCCTGAACCAGAAGTACTTGTGGTGAAGAGGAACATGTTGGTTTGACGTATAGTACTTTTGAAGTGGGTGCATGCATCTGTTGTGAGCCCAGTGAATTGAGGCTTACACTATTATCTGTTTTTTTGTTTTGTTTTGTTTTTTATACAAACCTAATAGTCATTGCTGTAGTAATGTTATTTCTTTGTGAATGTGTAGGGGCAGTGCATATATTTATTTATTTTTTTATTTATTAGCCTGGTCAGCCATCCTGACTCAAAATCTTCCTCTTGCGAATCAAGTTCATATTTAGCTATTATTAATTATGCTTTGCATGCAGATAAACTTTCTGATTGCCCAGTGCATTAAATTGGCATTAAATTATTAAGTGTAGGTATCTGTTTGACAAGTCAAGCATGAGGTGTAACTTTTGTGGTAGTAGGCTATGTCACCTGCTTGTGTCCATGGAAATGTAATTGCTCTGCCTAGAATGCTCCACAGTATTGGATGAATAATACCACACATTCCAGGCAAAGCAGTAACATCTCCATAGAGACAAGCAGGTGGCAGACTCTCTGTCAGAAAACATACACAGTATCTTTATCTAAAAAGAAAGGATACATATTTTTGCCTGAATCTGTAATATTTCTCTCTCTCTATGGTCGTACGTCATGTGTATCTGATTTAAATATGTGACTGGCTTGTCAACAACAGTTGTAAAGTCAATGTGTTATTCTAGTGAAGCAAATGGATTTGGCTGGCCAGGCTAGTGTTTTTTTATTATTACTATATTGTTATAGTAGAAGATTCAGTAATGTAGCGTTTGAAAGAAATGTGTAAGGCAAAACACTAAACTCTCCACTAGATTTTAAGCTGTGCGGAAATGTGCACAATGCATAGCGAAGTCTGTAAGTGGATTCTGAAGTAGCACTTGTTTATAAAGTATATAGAAATGCCTAAAGGACAAGACAATGGATACAGCTTGTGCCAGATTGAGAAGCCATTAAAAAGTCAATCACAAATGTGCCATTGGGTCACATGGGCTTCAATCGTCTCTGTTAACTTTGAGTTCAATGACTTGACATTCCTCAAAGCAGCAGCACTGATATTCTTACATTCAAATGGTGCATTTTCCTCATGTACATTCCATTAATTAATTCAGTTTCCATTCTCATGCTTTTCAATGTGCTGTACTGTCAAAAAGACAATTTTTGTTGATTATTAGATTTTCTTGTCAAACATACCTTTTTGTTAAAATGTTGCTCTTTTTCCTTTTTGTCTTAAGGCGCAGTAAACCAGGGCAGTAAAAAGGCTGGTATAAAAAGTGAATGTTTTGCACTGCGGCCACTAAGAAAAAGATCTTTCTTTGAGGACCATTTTCACAACAGTGTCTTTGACCAATTTGTAGTGCTGGACTGGACCTCTGTCTTGTCTGGTTTTAGAGACTCATCGCTCAGTCTGGAGCCATAAAAGTGGCTGCAGCTGACATGGTACAAAGTGGGTTCGCAAATGTGGCGATTGAATTATTCTCACCTATAAACACATGTCTTTGTACAATGGGAGGAAGCCATATGGGATGACACATTCAAGTGGAAAAAAGAACTAAAATTAGGTCAAAGTTCTGCAAAGTTGACAGTAGAGAGATTTGAGAAACCATTAATAGGGTAGCAAAATATATAGCGATTGTATAAAAATTTGAAATTGCACTATAATATAGAACCACAAAAGCAGAACAACATACCATTTCTTATGGAGAAGAAAGAAAATGCTAACATTGTAGTTCAGACCTCTACAGAAGGTCTCTACACAGGTTTCTTCAGACCTGTCTTTTGAAATAAACTCTATGAACTGAATTCTGATTTCTGAACAAGAATCTCGATTCTTATCTCAATTACAATAATTGGCAGAAAAAAAGATTATTTTCCATGATCATGCAGCCTTCATCTTTAGCTTAACTTCTTGGGCATGGATCTAAATTAACACCAGGCAGAGTGGCAGACTTCCTCCTCACACACTGAAGGCAATGGGAACAATCAGTGAAGTCTCCTTGTGATTATGTGGGCCATTTATGGACACTATTTCATCATGCCTGTGCAGATGAAATAGTGAAACACTGAGTCTGCCATGGTGCTATCTATGCAATTAACTGACTATTGTCCAGTGCTTGTCCCACTCTATACCATAAAAGCTCAGACTGCCTCAAGCACATGTAGTAAAAAGTGATACACTAATTAATTAAGCACTCTTGTGAAACTGGCCCCATCTTTTGAATGTTACTTATAATTCTCTCATAAGCCTTTCTTCTCCCGTTCATGAATGTTGAAATATTATTATAGTATACAGAATATATTTTTTCTCATCCTCTTGTGCCACATGACTGCTGCTCATATAGACTCAGGTTCAGCTCTCATTTCGTATCTCTTGGAAGGACAAGAAGAAGGTACCAGGTCTATACTATGTAAATACAAGTAACTGTTTACCTAGTCCTCCCGACTTATCCATTTTTAAACTGACTGTAATGTATTGTTTTCTATTGTAACATATGGGACTGCTAAGAAGCTTGTCTTGCCCTCTCCTTGGTTTGTGAATGTGAACTGTACTTTTTGTAAGGCCAGAGGTCCGAACTGATATTTTTAATGTTTCAGTGTGCAAAGACATGTTTACCCTTAGCTTTTTTTTTCAAACATGAAGAAATAAATATTGGCTGAGATGGTGAAGTCTTTGTGTATGTCATTAAAATAGAAAGCACTAGGTGTCATAGGGTCGATAGTTTCCGCTTACTGTGTAAATCAGTAAACAGACCAAATCAATGTAAAAGCACAAAAAACAAAAGAATAGATGTGTGAATAATCAATAAACCGCTGTTGTTTTTCCCCCTGTGGAGCAGCTAAGCAACATACAGGGTCAAGTGTGCTCTGGCTGGATACAGCAAAGGGATTCATTAAAGGAACTCAAGATCTAAACAAATCCAAAGAAAAATAAACCAGAGTGCTTCAAATGGACTTCAAGACTGTAGCTATAGTCATTATATCAAAACTGGTTTCCTGTCTTGTAATCACATAAACACAGGAAATGCAGAAGACAGATCATTTATAGATGCATATTTCACTCATGTATCTGCAGTTGCCCAACAAAATGTTTTCAAATTCTCACAAGAAGTCAGATTAAGTTCATAACTTGAAAATAGTTTTAATTTGTGTTTTAACAAGTATAATTCTCCAATATATGAATTGTTAAAAGATGTTTTCACGGAACACTTTGTGAAGTGAAACTTTAAACACAACATAAGTTAAGCTCATTGCTACTAATCTTGAGTTTATCACTTTAGTGATTACTTTATTTCCTTTAGTGTCAACACAATGGTTTATCAGATATTCTCCATAAGTTAGTATCTCCAGTAACACTGCTACCTGACCTGAAAAAAAAAAAAAAAAAAAAATGCAGTCTTCCTCTGCATAATCAGATACCTGAGATCCAAATCACATTTGACCTATTTAGGCAACATAAAGACAACACAATACACAAAGTAATGGGCAGAGCAAATTTATTGAAAGAAAAATAAAAAATCCAATATTATGTTGATGCACAGAAACACAGGACAGGCTTGTTCCCATTTAACCTATACGTTGAGAGTCCTTTCTTCCACAAACCACATTGACCACCGACATGCGCGTGCTCCTGTTTTCTTGAGCGTCGTGAGTGAGCAGCGCAGGCAAGGCAGTAGATTGCGCAGTCATCTCCACGAGGGGTAATATGACAACCCGATCAACAGCACAAACTACTACCTCAGCCCGCGCCTGGCTCTTCGGTCCCGTAAAGTACACACGAGTCCTTCTGGATCATGCAGGTCCACCCGTGCGTAAAAGCGCACGGGAATGGCGTGCGCGTAAAACGTGGCCGCTGCAAGACGAGACAAAACCCCACCCAAAGCATGTGAATGAGGAAGAAAACACCTCGTGGAATCCACCTATGGCACGATCATCCCCACAGAAGATCGTTTCCTCAAATGACCCCAGACACAATGGTTTGACAGCCAGACTTTGGAGGAATCCAATACGGGTACAGTTAAAAAGTATAGGTTAACTCGAAGCCCCAAAACAAGAATTTGAACATGCACATACAAGAAAATATGCTATGCCCTAAGGTGACACTGATGAGGTTTACATATCCATATGCCCATCGCATATACTTTGATTTACAAATACAAAAATGCTAAACAATCGATCAAGATGATCACTCGACAAATCGACTATATATATCTATATATATAATATATAGATATATATTTTTTTACCCCTAAACGTAACGTATGGACCTGGATTCCACGCGCCCCTCGTGCAGCGTTCACCTTGCAGCTCAACTGCAGCAGACTATTTTATAATCTATTGTTGTCTCTGCCCCGCTCTGCGCCGACTGGTTCAAACTTCTGCCTTTTCCAAATTGGTGCCATCAGGACGACCCAGACCGAACCAAAAATATCCAGTGCGGAGACACGTATGCGTAAACATTCCAGTCCAGTTCTCTGCGCGAGTAAAGACAGCCAGGAAGGTGTGGAGAATGAGTGGATGTGGCGGAGCAGCGTGGATAAAATTCGCGGGGAACGTCAGGACGGGGGTGGGTAGCACCAGAGATGGGGGAAAAATGAAGATGCACCACTCTGAAGTAGGAAAAGCGCAAACGTAATGTGCGGTAGACGTACGCCATCAGGTGGTCAGTTTTGAAAATAAATATCACAGCTTCACACACGATCATGATTATAACCCATGGGTTTCAGAATGACGAACATCCAGCCCTGTTGCTATATCAATTAACAATTAAAAACAAAATATTTATATATTTGAATTCACTGAAATCCTCATAAAAACTCCACTTATAAACAGGAACCAGAAACAAATTAACATTAATTCTGTCAACTCTGTCTACGCTATCAAAATGATTACCAATAAATTTCAGTGTAGCCAGACTATTATACAGTCTACGAAACAGACAAATCCTTCTCAATAAGACAATAGAAATGCATTGGAAAGGTGCATAATATCAACTGACACTCATGGCATGGATGTATAAAAACATCTCATTATAGAAGGTCTTATTATAGATCCATGATCCTGGCGCATGAAGGCTTGACTTAATGACTGGATTTCAGACCGAGAGTGAGCCGCTGTCTCTGCACGCGCTCTCTGCACGCGCACTCTGCACGCCTCCTTCCATTGGTCAGCAGGGGAGCGCTCAGGGGAACCTCCCAGCTGTGCACAGACTGGAACCTCACAACTCACCGAGAACACCGTGTTCCAGCTGCACGCGCCGCTGCTGCTGCTTCCAGCTCTCTCACATTAGACACTGGGGTTGGGGCAATGTCCTCAACAGGTTTTAAACAAAAATTACATGCACACATGGCAAAAAGAGGCTCAGTGACCAACATAAATACCACAGTATCAAGAATCAAGTATTGCTTACAATAATACAGGTAAAATTCTTTATTGTCAAAAAAAAGTCTTCAGTTTGTTTTGCTAGATACTTATAGCAACAAGAAGTGACACACAGTGCCAGCAAAGCGTTACACAACTTTATTGAAGATTGTGTATAAATACACATGCACATCTCAAATGTAAACCCAAGTGAACTCAAGTGCAGCCGAACCTGGCAACCCCACTATGTCATATCATGCACAAGGATGTCCGGAGATTTTTTACAAAAAAGTCCAAAAACAACAGAAGCATCCTTTTTGTTAAAAATATTACCTCCCTGACAAGAGCACAGGCAATGTGTGTATGTGTGTGGACTTGGGCCACACTTCCCTCAACATCTCAGGTCTTGTCGAAGGTTTAAATATGACTGTATTATTAAATGCTTACATATAAATAAATAAACTTTATCAAATGTGCACTCACAGAGTGAACTCTTATGTACAATATTGTATAAGCCTATAGTAGCAGTCACATGTCCCTCAGGATGGGGCGAGTCACCCGAAAGACAGCGCAGCGGTGACAGAACATAGGCTCATAAGTACAGGCTCAGTAAGGCATGATACACTTGGAATAGAGCAGAATGGAGCAGAATGGAGCAGAATGAAGCCACAAACCTCCATGGACAACAGATACGTCTCACACTGATAGAGGAGTGTCACTAAATATTTCAAATGTATCATGCTCCTAAAGCTCTGGGCCTTTTGAGCAGACTCGCCCCAGAGGTCTCCCGTTCACCGACCCCACGCCAAAACTCCATCTCCTCAAAGCTCAGGACCATTGTACATTTAATCCCATTCAGCAGTACCTAATAATTCATACAGCTAATATTAAAGGCAAGAGTACGTTCCCACCACATTCAAACACAACAGCAAGAGCCATTCAAGATTTCAAAGGCATGAACCACATCAATGGTTTACGGTCAGTGTTTCATTGAGGATACATTCCGGCCCTCTTGTGGATAAAACAATGATGGAGCAACAAGCAAGTCATACAAACCATATATGGACATTCCTACACTGGTGTTTGGTGTAAAGGAAGGGGCCATGCAGGAAAGACAGCCTGATAGTGATGTGCAAAAATGTTTTCTAAAGACGACAGCTCTGAGATTAAGATTTAAGGCGGAGGTGATACAAATATGAGACAATCCAACCCAATTTGTCACCAGTGTTCCTAATCTCAATAGTGCCTCTAAAGGACAAGAGAGAAAGTTTAACAGCACTACAAGCTTAACCAAGAGGAGAGTTTCCAGATTGTTATAATAACAAACATATAGCATGTCTTATGATTCTGTCAGGCTAGTTAAGACTATGAACACTGTAATAGAATCATAACCTGTATAAACTAAATGATAGTGAATGCAAAAAGAACATGGGTGGGAAAGTTACTGAATGCCAAAAAACTATGAAAACTACTGTATTAATTAACAGTAAAAGCAGGGTCTCAACTTATTAAAATGCACCTAAAAATGATAGCAGCAGGAGCAGCAGCAGTGCAATGCTAAGACAATTTGACTGTTTGTCATATAGTTTTAGTGCCCATTTAAACTTGCCTTAAGAACATATGATTACTGGCTTATTAAAAGGCATGTCCGAACCTTCTGATGTGCGAGTGTGAATGAGGAACTCCACTAAGACAAGGTCTAATAATAATTGCAGTTTCACTGGCAAAAAGACATAAAACATGGATGGTTGCCGATTGTGCAAGTTCAAAATATCTTAGCCCACCATGAAAACCCATCAGGATTCAGTGTTTAAAATATATACATATTTTAAATGATAATAAAATGATATAACAATTCATTGCTCTCAAACTTATATATAAAACATTGAACACAAAAGCATCCGAGAGCCACACTAAATCTGATAAATCTCCAAGTAATATTAATAATAAAAATATCCCTGGTGTTGTTCAGCGCAAGCAAAACCTAAACAAATGGACGTGGTCTTACACTCACACATTTCACACAGTGATCCAACCACAGAGGAGGGCCCTGATTCATTAGTGTCATGTACCCTGACCAATCAGCATTCATCCCACAGAGGCTCTGCCCCCACAGCAGCCAATCACGGGCCGCGGCGTAGGACCCCATGGTAGACCCTATGGCAGCCCGCTGCTGCCATGCTGTGTCCATATGGCTTTAGATGGAAGAGCCCAGTCTCTCTTCCCATGTATGTAGTCTCTCAGTTGATTTTCATGTTGACATCACGATTGGGCGTCTCCTCCTCTTCCTCCTCCT